ACACACACACACACACACACACACACACACACACCTTTAAAAATAAGTTTGTTTTTAAACTACCAAGTTACCTTTAGACATGGCTATACCATTTTGTGCTTTCCAGTTGTGCGGCTCGCTGTATTCCTGTCAGCATCTGGTGGTGTTTCCGTGCACACTGTGCTAGATCACGACCCAGTCTGCCATGTCAGGCAGCATTTTCCTAACACTTGCGGTATCGTTGTTGTACGCCTGTCAACTGGACGTCTTTGTCACGTTTTAAAATGACACTACAGTCTGTCTCAGATGTGTCTTCTGCAGTGCTGTTTTCCTCTCGGTCTTTTCGCTCCTGATGTGTTTCAGAGTTCAACGGTTATTCTCATGGGTTGCCCTGGCTGTCCTGGAACTCGCTTTGTCTTTCTTTTAATATTTATTTATTATGTATATAATATTCTGTCTGTGTATATGCCTGAAGGCCAGAAGAGGGTGCCAGACCCCACTACAGATGGTTGTGAGCCACCATGTGGTTGCTGGGAATTGAACTCAGGACCTTTGGAAGAGCAGGCAATGCCCTTAACCTCTGAGCCATCTCTCCAGTCCCCTGGAACTTGCACTGTCAACCAGGCTGGCCTCAAACTCAGAGTGCTGGGATGTAGGTGTGCAGATTTACGTCTGGGTCTTCGCCAATATGTAGTCTTTGTTACTACAGTTCTATAGCAAAGCTTTGAAATCAGGGATGGTGATACCTCTAGAAGTTCTTTTATTAAATAGGATTGTTTTAGCTGTCCTGGGTTTTTATTTTTCCATATGAAGTTGAGTATTGTTCGTTCATGGTCTGTAAGGAACTGTGTTGGGATTTTAATGGGGATTTCATTGAATCTGTATGTTACTTTTGGTAAATGGCCAATTTTACTATGTTAATCTTACCGACCCATGAGCACGGGAGATCTTTCCGTCCTCTGATATCTTCTCCACTTTCTGTAAAGACTTGAAGATTTTGTCATAGAGGTATTCCACTTGCTTGGTGACTACCCCAAGATATATTACTTGTGGCTACTGTGAAGGGTGTTGTTTCCCTGATTTCTTTCTCAGACCATTTGTCATTGGTACACAGGAGGGCTACTGGTTTTTTTTTTCAGTTGATCTTGTATCCAGCCACTTCACTAAAGGTGTTTATCAACTGTAGGGGTTCTCTGATGGAATTTTGGGGTCACTTACGTATGCTATCATATCGTCTGCAAATAGTCATACTTTGGCTTTTTCCTTTCCAATTTGTAGCCCCTTGACCTGTTTTAGTTGTCTTATTGTTCTGGCTAAAATTTCACTACTGTACTGAATAGAAATGGAGAGTGGACAACCTTGTCTTGTTCCTGATTTCAGTGGGATCATTGTGAGTTTCTCTCCATTTAGTTTGATGTTGGCTGTCGGCTTGCTGTATGTTGCCTTTATTATGTTTAGGTATGTTCCTTGTATCCATGATCTCTCCAAGACTTTTATCATGAAGGGGTGTTGGACTTTGTCAAAGGCCTTTTCAGCATCTAATGAGATGATCACATGGTTATTTTCCTTGTAGTTTGTTTATGTGGTGGATAACATTAACAGATTTTTATATGTCGAACATTCTGCTGGGCTAGTGAGGCCACTGGTACACAAGGCAATTCACAGGATCTGTAAACTTATAGTTTAAACACGAACTAATTTTTATAGCACCAACCGTGTTTTGATTTTGAAATCAGAAGACATTTCTGCAAAGGGTATCACAGTACTTCTTTGACTCTTCACTCTATTGTTCTTGTAAGTTTCCCCCAGATGACACCAGAGCCCTAACTCATTTTTCTGAATGCTTAATATAGTTGGTGTGGAGACTGTATTGCTTTGGGGAAGACAAAAGAAAACAAAAAACAAATTCAAAACTTACTGGCTTAAAACCCTTAACCGCCAGCTGAGTGGCGGTGGCGCATGCCTTTAATCCCAACACTCTGGAGGCAGAGGCAGGTGGATCTCTGAGTCTGAGGCCAGCCTAGTCTACAGTGAGTTCTAGGACAGCCAGAGCTGCACAGAGAAGCCCTGTCTTGAAAATCCAAACCAAACAAAAAGACCAAAACAACAGCGCTTAGCTGCCTTGGTTTACTTGGGTGAGGAACGGAGCTTTGATAGTCTCTGAGCTGTGAGGTGTTTCTGGGAGAGCTGACTCCAGGATTCGGTTCTTGCTGGCTGTCAGCTGTGCTCTGACGTTCCTGTCCCCAGGGGCCTAGCCGGAGATGTTATAACTGCTTTGTTAGACTAAGCAAGGAACCGGGGGCGGTGCCCTCAGAATGCAACCTCATGTAAGAATTGTGAGATGCTCCTTCAGTTTGCAGTGGTTCTTGAGTACAGTGACTGGTGTCCTTGTGAGATGAGGGGGACACAGACACACAGGGAATATAGTGTGGACGCAGAGAGACTGAAATGATAAACTGACCAGTCAAGGGACAGAGCGGGATTGCTGGCAGTCACCTCCTGAAGAGCCTGCAGCAGCCCTTGGAACCAAGTTGCAGCCAGATCCTGGAAGCAGTGCCCACCCCTTCTGCCATATTCTCATGGTTAGAAGGACGACGTCATCAGATCCTGGCCAGAGCTGTGAACATCGGGCAGCAGGACTGTCATTGGGGAGCTTTAGAAGCCAAAATACCGTAATTCGTATACAACACCATTATTTCCTTATTCTCCCGAGGACATCCGGGCCACTGCTAGCTTTTCAGCACGATAGGACCGCAGGCAGAAGCATATCCTTTGAACATATCTCCTAGCGAGCATCGGAAAGTCTAAGATCCAAAGTTGCTGAGTTAGGATTTATATTTTTTTCCAGACTGCTCTCCAAAGTGGTGGTGACAGCCCAGTTTCCACTGCTGACGTGTGAGAAGTTTGTTTTCTCCTATCTGGTGGCTGTGGTCGGTTCTAGAGTGTGCTAATCCAAAGGGCCTTTGTGATGTGTACCATAATATTCCATAACCTTCTGACTTCTGTGGATCACGTCCAAATCTTACATCTTTCTTAGAATTTATAACTTTTATGGATATTTCCTTTGTGATTTCTCAAGCTTCTGGTATAATTTTAAGACTTTCTACATTTTTAAAAAAAAGGTTTATTAATAATATATGCATAGTTCTGCCTGCATGTCTGCCTGCTGGCCAGAAGAGGGCACCAAATCTCATTGCAGATGGTCATGAGCAGCCATGTGGTTGCTGGGAATTGAACTCAGGACCTCTGGAAGAGCAGCCAGTGCTCTCAACCTCTGAGCCACCTCTCCAGCCCCTGACTTTCTACGTTTTCATGTCAGAAAGTGTCTTTACACATTTCTACAGAGTTCTGCACCCGTTATTTGTATGCATGCGTCCCCTATTACCTTTTCTAGTCTATGTCCCCACCCCACCCTGTCTCCTAATGGCTGTGTTGTTCATGGCCTATCCTTGCTCTCCTCTTGGTCATTTTGAGTTCTGTCCTGAATCCTCTGACAACTTCTGCAGGCTTTTCTGGTGATAGTCAAGGACAATTCTATCTTGACCTCTTTAACAATTAGCTTACCTTTTGTGTACCCGTTTCCTCCATCCCTGGTTGTCACTGCTACTGCCCACACACCCCCATTTTCTCTCTGTGTGTATCTCTGTCTCTCTCTCTCTCTCATACACATAGACACACACTCACACTCATTGGCTATCTTTGCTGGGATGTTTGTCCCTTTTCTGGAGGGCATCTCTGGCCTTTTCAGGGAGGCTCTAATGAACTGTGTTGTGTCTCCACATCTGAAGTTACCTGTGGTCACTTTTGAACACTGGTGTAGCTAAGCGAGTCTAGGTTGGGAGCTTCCTTTGATGTTTTGGCAGCTGAGACCCCCCAGTGGCAATCTCCAGGTTTTTTTCTCTTGAGTGCCATGTTCTACAGCTGGCTGCGCGTGGATTTGTCTTATGTCTTGCTGTAGTTTGGGGTCTCCTAAAGAGCCATGTCTTAGCTGGGCGGTGGTGGTGCATGCTTTTAATCCTGGCACTTAGGAGACAGAGGGGCAGGAGGATCTCTGTGAGTTTAAGGGCAGTCTGGTCTACAAGAGCTAGTTCTAGGACAGACTCCAAAGCTACAGAGAAACCCTGTCTTGGGGGGGGGGGGGGAGGAATCACGAACAAAAAGCCACATCTTAAAGGCTTAGTTCCCAGGCTGGCGCTGTTGGGAGGTGGTAGAGACTTCGCCTTGGAGGGGGACGTGTTCCAAAAGAGCATCATAGGACTCTACCTCCTTCCGCATTCAGTCCCCACTGAGTGCCCAGTGGGTGTGGACTGAAACTTCCAAACAGTGAGCCCAGACAACCTTTTAACAGATTCCCTTGTTTCAGATGTCTGTTAAGGTCACGGAAAGCCAACAGTGCATGTTCTACTCAGGATTCAGGGTGCCCTTTAATTCCGAGGACTGCAGCTGTCAAATCGTCCAAGCTCAGGCCTTGTTTGGAGCCTCCCCTTTGCTCTCATCCTGGATCTCAAGTGGTTGGGGGTCACCACAGCGTGAGGAACTGTATTTAAAGGGTTGCAGCATTGGGAAGGTTAAGAACCACTGGGCTGGAATGTCTCATGTGGGTCTTTTCAGATCTGTTGCTTTAAACAACATTGTATTCACTTTGTAATTAGATCTTCAGAAGTGCTAGGCCCTCATTCTCTTCTTGTATTAGCAGCTTTTGTGGTGAAAATCCCCTGTTCTGCTGTCTCTCAGCCCATGGTGGCAGAGGCTGCTTGTGGCGTTCATTTCCTCTCCTTCCTTGGCACTAGGAAGGAAGATAACGATGCTTCTTCCTAGTTGTCTTAGGTCCATTATCTTCGCGTAGGATAAAGGGCCAGTTCTCCTTGGTCACACTGAAGAACTGTCCACAGGACCCTAGAGAGTTGTTCAGTTGCTCGTTTGTTCTATGAAGGCAATGTCTATTCCTAATTTTGAAAGATTATTAGACAATTTAGAAGTATTTTCAATTAGACAGTACCAAAGAAATGGCAACAAAGGACTTCTTAAAAACAAATAGTTTAATTTCATCCAGAAAAAATACAGGTTTAAGATGAAACTAACACTCTGACATCTCATTAAGTGTCATCTTTATAGTATTATGCTCATTAAAAACATGAAGAGATATCACCTTTATACATTTCTAGAATCAAATACCCCATGTTAGTTATAAAATATCAACCACTAAGTGTCCCGGTTTGCGTTGTTTTTTTCTGGGACATATTTTATAGAAATGGTATAAAATAAGGCAGGCTCTTAGAAATGCAATTATAAAATTTTAGGACAAAATGGTCACATCCAACTTTCTCTCTGACAAGACACACCTGCCAACTCCTGAGATCACAGCTGCAGCTCAGAATCGGGTCTGCGGTGTGGCTGCTCTGTTGCATGCTAGAGTGAGACCCACCAGTAAAAATCCCTCCCCACTAACATCAACAACAAGGGTTTAACATTTCTATAGTGTGATAAAATGTATCATTTATATTCTAATCTGCATTATGAAAATAAGTCTGTGCACCAACTCAAACAATGAGAATGAATCGTGAATTTGGTTGTGGCATACAAAGGTGGCTTTGGCTTTGAAGTATTTTTAAATTCGTAGAAAATGTCAAACTTCTAATAAAATAAATAAAACATTTAATAATTGGGATAATCAACCTTAAGTTTCTTTGTCTCATTTGCTAGTCGATTTAAGGGAGAAGTCACTTCCAGTAGTGTTCCGAAACGAGCAGCTGGCCCTCCTGAGATTCGAGACACGTCCCCATGGCTGTCCTGTCCACTGAAGGAACTAGGAGAGATGGTGGTCACTGCCCTGCCATGGGTCACCTCTGCAGGGCCCTCGGGCTTGTGGTAACGTAGAGCTGATACAAGCCAGAGTTCTTACTAAGGAGCCTTACAGCGACATGGCATCAGATGGTGGCCACAGAGGGCTGATGTCCCCGTGTCCTTTCGCAGGCTCTGCAGATAAGGCAATGCCTCTCTGCCTAACACACTGCAGAAGGCAGGAGGGACAGAGCCCCAGACCAGATGTACAGCCCACTCTATTCTGGAGGGGGACGGAGGCTGCGCAGCTTCTTCTCATCCAGTTCTTTCCAGTACTTGAAGTTGTCATCCAGGTGCTGCATGAGGTCAGGTAGATCGACAAAGGCTGGGGAGAGAACGGGACGTGGTGTCTTCATGCGGCTTTATTTATGGGTTTAGGCTTCCTTATTTTCTTTCTGGGAGCGGAGCTTGGCCTTCTACCACAGAGCTATGCCCTGCCCCAGCATTTTAAGGAGGCCAAGGGAGTCAGCAGTAATGTGATAGCAAACTCCAGGGAGAGTAGACCCGCCCCTGACCTGCGGGCATCAGCTCTGCACCTTTCCCCCAGAGAAGCCCCCAGGGCTCAGGGAGCTGGGGACACCCTCGGGAACCTCTCTGGGTACCTCTTACCTGACAGGCTCTTCGCCCTCCAGGATGGCTTCTTTCTCTCAGTTCCACCTGGGAAGTCTACGCTACTTAACCAACTAACTAGCAGGTCCCTCCTTGAGGGTGCTGGATTCCTTACCGTCCCAGGCGTCAAACATGTCTGTGATGAAGTAGTCAATGAAAGAGATCTGAGACTTGGGAATGCTGCAGGTGTTTCTGTCAAAAACCGGCATCACCACAGGCAAGTCCAGCTGCTTCTCTTCATCAGTCTGCAAAAGGGAACACCCCGTGAGCTCAGACTCCCACCCTGCCACAGGCTGCCTCTGTAGCACTAGCTACCTGTTTTGTTATGTGTAATTTTACTATGTTAAAATTAAAACCTTTTTAGCTGGGTGGTGGTGGCGCACGCCTTTAATCCCAGCACTCGGGAGGCAGAGGCAGGTGGATCTCTGTGAGTTTGAGGCCAGCTTGGTCTACAAGAGCTAGTTCCAGGACAGGCTCCAAAGCCACAGAGAAACCTTGTCTTGAAAAAACAAATAAAACCTTTTTATTTAAACAGAAAAGAGGAGATAATGTGGGATTCCCCTCTGTATGCTGTGAATACCATTAGTTAATAAAGAAATTGTCATGGCCTATGATAGGGAAAACTAAACTGAATACTGGGAGAAGGAAGGCGGAATTTAGAGATGCCATGTAGCCATCAGAGAGGAAAGACGTGAGCTGCCAGCTGAAATCTTGTGGATAGGCAGCGACACTCATGTTAAAATCTAAAATAATGGAAATGGTTAATTCTAGACATAAGAGCTAGCTAGCAATACACTTAAGCTATTGTCCAAGTAGTATTGTAAATAATATAGTTTCTGTGTGATTATTTCAGGAGTCTGGGCGGCCAGGAAACGAACAAGCAGCCTCCAACAACATGGTGCCTATAAGCCCAGTACTCAAGAGGACAAGAGGGTCGGTCGGCCTCAGATACCAGGGAAGTCAGCACTGGCTGGGGTGACACTCAGAAAGCAGCAAGACTGAGTTTAGTGCCCCCCTACAATGTTAATAGTGACAGGCAAATCGTGTGCTGTTGCTGTGGTTGGTACAGCCGAGTTGGCTCATCTGGTTACCACTCCCACAGCTATGCTGACATCTGCTCTGCTCCTCTAGGCCTGTGGTGGATCACTAGAGTGAGCGGCCAGCCTTCACTTCTGGGAACGGCCTGCTGGGTGATGACACAGCCCTTTATGCTGATGGACTCAGTGTAGAGACATTCAGGGTCTTGAGAAACTGTGATGTCGCGTGGTGCTGCCTTTGTCTGGTGTTGACCATGGGTAAGAACAGCCTCAAGATGAGCGGGAGGTGTTCCTGGCTCTTTCCCTTCTCACATAATCTCTACGGCTGCCATTATTTCTGCCACACGTGTTCGGATCCTATCTTCAACAACATCTTAAGCTGCTGACTAGAGGTGACTTGTGATTCTGCCAATATTAAGTGCACATGCGCTATGGCGATCGGCCCTTTTCCATTAGGAAATGCAGTGCCCTGTCTTGGTGTCTTATGTGTATAATCTGCACATTGTACCTGCCTGGGCCCGCCATCTTTCCAGTCTTTATATTGACAGTATCTTTTCTGGTCTGCCCGTAGTTGAACTTTTGTTTTCGTTTTGCTTGGTTTTGGAGGTGCAGTGTCCCTAAGGAACTGTCCTGAGCTCTTGGTCCTCTCTCACCTTAGTCTTCCATGTGCTGAGATTACAGGTATGTGTCACCATGCCCCGCCTCATCTGTTCTGACAAATGGTCTTTTAAGGGAGTGTTCCACTTATTACTATTTAGTGGAATTGAATGTAATAATGCTGTTATTTACTTCCCATTCCCTACCTCTTCCTACTGAGCTATGACAACTGTGGATGACGCCCTGCATTCGGTCTCGGTGTTGAGCTCAGCAGACATCTTAGACCGTGTAAGGCCATTCAGTCCTACATCCTTTTTCTGTCTCATTATTTACAGTACAGACCCAACAATCAACATGAGAACCTTTGCTTAAAATAACCATGTCCTCTATAGACATCCGGGTATAGCCATGTCCTCTACAGACGCCCAGGTATGGCTGTATCTCTACAGATGCCTGGGTTTGCATCTGGATCACTTCCTCTCCACTCCTGAGAACTCCATGCAGCATTTCTTACAGTGTAGGTTCACCAGTAATGAATTCTCCTAGTTTCCCCTTATCTGAGAACAAGTTTATCTTGCCCTGACCCTTGAAGGCTATTCCACTAGATACAGAGTTCTGGGTTGACAGTTTTCTTCTAATAGCAGCTTAAACATGTGTTTCAGTGTCTTCTGGCCTCAGATGTAACCCTGGCTAGCCTAGAACTCTCTAATGCAGACCAGGCTGGCCTCAAACTCAGAGATCTGCCTGCCTCTGCCTCCTAAGAGCAGGGATTACAGGCGTGCACAATTCAGGCCCTTGTTGGGCGCCAATGCCCCTCATTCTCCCTGGTCCCCTCTGATCTATGTGCATATGTCTGCTCCCAAATCTGCAAACACTCTAGCACTTTATTTTCCTTCTCTCCCAGGGAGATGTGAGGGGACACTGCTTTTAGGAGAAATCTAAAGATGTCCAAATAATGAAGACAAAGTATCACATTTTCAGATAAAGAAAACAATTTGTTATCAACAAATATACAAAGTAAGTGTTCTTCAAAGACAGAACTGCTTTAGAGTTCTCTTTTCTAATTTTAAGTCAAAGATAGAAAAGAGAACTCTAAAGAAGTTCTAAGTTTAAGTCCACAGCCTCACGATGTTCTTCTATTCCCAGCTTGAGTGTGTGCGCATGTTTGTGTGGAAGGAATCAAGGTGTAGCCTCTCACCTGAGAAAAATACTCTTCTGAGATGCGTGCGGCCCACTCGATGCAGTACTCTAGGGGCCGGCAGGGGTTGGACACGTCGGCACATTTGATCATCATCCGTTTGATGAGAGCCCGGTTCTCTGGAGTCCTAAGCATAGTGTTTATGGAGTCCTCGGTTTTGTCAGTTTCCTGAACCATAGTGAAATCAAAGCAATCAAAACGGGCCCTTCATGCCCAGCCACTTTACCTAGGGTCTATGATATACAAAGTTCTACAGAGGAAGCACGGCCCAGTGAGAGTTCAGCAGGATTAATGTGGTGATTGCCTGACGATCAGAGAGTGGAGCTAATCACTCGTTAGTAGTAGAGGCCAGGTGATGGTGGCACACGGCTTTAATCCCAGCACTCGGGGGACAGAGGCAGAGGGATCTCTATGACTTCAAAGCCACCCTGGGCTACACAAGATTGATCTAGTCTAAAAAGAATCAGAGCCAGGCAGTGGTGACTCACACCTTTAATCTCTTTGGTGGGAGTCACATGCCCACCACTAGGGAGGAGAAAACAGAAAGGGATATGGCTAGGGGAGAGGAATATGAGGCGGGAGGAGACAGGAGCTCAAGACAGAGCTACAGTCTGAGAACTTGTAGAGAGAGGATACCCCACTCGGTTTGAGGATTCCACAGAGGTAAGAGTTCTCTAGTGGCTGGCTACTCTGCACCTCTGATCTTTCAGGTTTCACTAATATCTGACTCTGGGTTTTTATTATAAAAACCGATCAGAATCTGTGCTACACCCAGGCAGCTTGGTGACTGGCAAATCTGCCCTTCTCTTTTTCCTCAGTCTTTCTGGGGTCCATCCTCCCCCCCCTCCCCGCACCCCGCACTGGTAAGTACTCAAAGGTTGGATTTTATCTTTTTAGGATATTTACTTCTCAGGACGAAAGAGCTCTGAGGCCAACCACCCCCTGCTCCCCGCGGTAGTCTTCACCGGCTCCACGACAGGGGTTTTGAGAACCAGCCTTCAGTGAACCCAGATCACGTTAAGTGACAGTCCCTCATACTGCTTTAGTATCTGTGACATTCAAAGGACACAAAGCCCGTTTCTTTTGATCTGGAGTCACAATGAGTGTGGGAACTGTGGAAAGTGTCATCACATTATAATTGCTGACCGGGGAGGGGTCGGGATGAGGGGACTCATCCAGAGTGTCCCTACGTCCCTCTGACTTGAGATCTACCGTCCCCTTTCTCTGGACAAGGAGATGGTATTGACAGGAGCTGACACCTGCTCCACACCGGGCAGCTCTGACCAGATGTCAGCGTCACCCTTGCTAGGCAGCAGTGGCCTCCATATCCCGAATCCAGAAATGAGGGTGACAATACCGTCACTTTGGTGATCCCAGCAGAGGACCTTATAGCCCTTCTCCTGCCGCCATCAGATACGCGGGGAGCGGCCGCTAAAAGCCCTCTAGTGGGGGGGGGGGGATAAAGCAGCTTTATCCCAGCATTCGGGAGTCAGAGACAGGCAAGATTTCTGTGAGATTGAGGCCAGCCTGATCCACTTATTGAATTCCAGGCCAGCAAGGGTCACATAATTAGAACCTGTTTGTTTTGTGTTTTTAAAAAAACAAACAAAACAGCTCTCTAGGGCTCCAACTGGCCTAGAATGTTCAGAAAGGAGGAAACATTTTGAGACAGTGCGCAGGAACGGCAGATGTGAAAACTTGTTTTCACGTCTATGTCTATTTTCATGATCTACCATGTTCTCCTACCAGATATCTGCATGTTAAATGGGTTTTTTTTAACCAATGAAAAACAAAATTCAACCAGGTGCCATGGCTCACTCCTCTAATCCCAGCACCTGAGGCTGAGGTAGAAGGGTCACTGAGTTCTAGGCCAGTCTGGGCTACAGAGTCTCTAGACAAACAGACAGACAGACAGGCAAATAAATAAACAAAACAAATTTAAAAAGTAAGAAAAATGGAAAGCCAAATTCATCGTGCGCAGCAAAGGCCCTACTGGGCCTGAGTTCTCCGTGTGCTGGTGAGTGTGAAGCCCACGTGCAGCCTCAGGATGAGTTTCTCACCTCATCTCCTTGTGTTGACAAGGGCTTGGTAATGCTGTTGATAAATTTGTTGACATGTTCGAAGTGCTTTGTCATTTCCGTGGCCAGGACCATGTCGATAATCCCCTGGCGTAGTGTCCGGTAGTCGTTCCTGTTTCAGACAGGGAGGATGCTATAGGTTACTACTGATTCAGGCTAGTGGGCTACAATCTGTTTTCCAGGACGTATGCCCACCGCAGCTATCAGTCCAGTACCACTCAAGTTAGACTTGCCTGCGTCACCAAAAGGGGGTTGGTTAGAGATCAGCTAACGGGCAGAATGCTGTAGCTTCCTATCACAGGGGTTAACTGGGGCACGGTGCACACAGTTCTCAGGACAAGATAGGTTCTAGCTGGGACTAGCAAAACCCTTTCCCCGTCTTTCTCCCTCCTCTCTGAAGACAGTCTAATTGTGTAGTCCAGGATGGCCTCAAACCCACGACCTTTTAAGGCTAGGATTACAGACGTGTGCCACTACGCCAGGCAAGAGCCACCATCTCCATATTCATTGACAGTGTGCCCTGCATGGAGGAACCCGGAGACGCAGAGAACTTCGGATGGCCCTTCCATTAGCCCTAGTTTACAAGTCATCAACACTGTTCCTCCACGGCCTCTGGGATGTTCCTGTCCCAGGTTCCTGAGATTTCCCTCAGAGGATTCCCCTGCGTGATTTGACAGCTATCTAGACGTTGCAGGATCAAACAAACCCTGTTTTCCCCAAGGTGCTTCGGTCGCAGGTTTTACCACAGCACTGGAAACCCTAGGTCTTATGGAGTCTCTGAAGACTATGTGCTCACTAGCGGATGTGAGTAAAACTTGGAATCTCAGAGGTGGGCCTAATATTAGACATGGTACAACAGAGTTTTGTGAAGTCAGGACACTCTTTAAAAATTCAAATTAAAGTATTCCCCATGACACTTTTTACCCCATTTGAGCTCTACTATGTATCAGGCACTGGGCTAGATGCAAAGTTACTGATGAAAAAGATGCGTGACACTGAGACTTTGAGGCATCTGGTAATGTGACAGGGCTGTAAAATGGACTTGGGACTGAGCAATTTTGAGTTCCGGTTAGCATGAGGATCAGAGAATGCTTCCTCAGGGGAGTGACGTGTGCAGGAGGCAAAGAGGGGTGTGCCAGGTTCAGCCCAGCATGGGCTGTGTGGAGGAGCAGCAGTGGGGGCTTACTGAGGAGAGCCTGGTCCCAGGTTTGAGGGTGCTGCGCCTGTTTTAGGATGGTGCTGAGGACAGCGGGAGTGCCCCAGGTCACACTGCAGGCACAGCATTGGCGTCTTGGCAACAGTCCGCTCTTACCTGTCCATGTTTTTAAAGATATTGCACTTGTCGTTTTCAAGGGTCAGCTGGAAGGCCAGTGCTGCGTGGTGGCTCTCCAGCACAGCGGTGTCATTGTACAGCACAGCCAGCTCATTGCCTGCGTTGCAGAGGAATGAGTTGGTTCGCCCAGGGTGATCCACGTCGTGAATGGTGGCAGCGATGAGGGCGGCAACCTCGTCAATTGGATCTAAAGTTTCCTGCAAACAAGAACTCTTTTGAAAACCAGTGTGCGTGACACCGGAACAAGCCTTCAACAAGGCTTCTCTCTGCCTTTTTAAAGAGATTTCTCTGATTCCCGAGGGAACCACATTGTCTGAGCAGATCTTGTTCCCTCTGCTCTGAAGCAGCTTGTCTCTGCACATGGCTACTGGATCCTGGATTGCCCAGCTCATCCAAGCACAGGTGAGATGCGGCCAGCCTTCTCCAGACCCACTGCAGACCAGTCCAGAGCCTGGGGTTCCTGACTTAGCCATAGTATGCAAGTCAAGATAAATAATAACTTCAAAAATAAACACGGCTTATCTTAGTTGGGAGCTGCCCTACCTTTCCAATCCTTTTCTGAACTATATTTTTTAGCTAACATAAGGTCTTATGGATTTGGTAAAATGATCTGGAATTTCTTCACCTCTTCCAGGGCTCTAAAAAGGTTTATATATAGTTAAAAAAAAAATTGTCAAGAGCTATTTAACAGGGCTGGAGAGATGGCTCAGTGTTTAGGAGCACTGACTCCTCTTCCAGAGGACCTGGGTTCATGTCCCAGCACACACATAGCAGCTCACAACTGTCTGTAACTCCAAGGTCTGACACTCTCATGCAGAAAGACATATACATGCAGGCAAAACACCAAGCACATAAAATAAATTATTAAAAAAAGAAAATTTCAAAACATCTGTCCTTGTGGTTTTACTTCTCTATGGATCTGAGTTTTCTCAGCCATTTTGCATGTGTAGTGATTGACAGACACTAACTGTTAAGTTCTAGTTCTGTTGTGATTCAGCGTCTACCACTATAAACTGAGCTTCAGAACATTATGCCTAGTATGAGAGATTCAGGGGTGGGATTGGGGAGATGGCTGCTCTTCCAGAGGACCCGAGTTCCATGCTCAGCACCCACATGGTGACTCACAACCATCTACAGTGGGATCTGATGCCCTCTCCTGGCATAAAGTTATACATTTAGATAGAGCACTCATAAAGTAATTCTTAAAAAGATATTCAGGAGCAGGTAAGACTGCTCAGCACGGTGGTCACAGTCAGGGGTGCTGACTTGGAAAGAACGCAATGGCAGCACTGTGAGGGTGCTCCAGAGGGGCCAAGAGAGAAGTGTGATGGACCTCACTGGGTAGGAAAATGAGAAGGAGCTCTCTGTCTGAAGTCAGATGGTCAGACAGGGAGGGGCTGAGGTGGTGATTCTGGCTGGCCTGCCCTGTCTGTTGACTTTGTCCCCAGAGGCTGCATGTTGCTTCTTACACTCTCAAGGACCGGCTGAGCCTGCAGAATCTCCCGGTTGGCTTCCTTCGCATGCCAAGCTGCACACACGCGAGGACTGCACACACGTGAGTTAGGCAACGGGAGCAGAAGCGCTAGACTCTCCCTACAGTTGCTGCTAAGGCAGAGTGCAAACACTGGCTCACCTTTATCTTGTCTCTGGACAGGAAATACGCAGTGGCGTGGAGCACGTCAGCCGCGTGTGTGGAGTTGTGGTAGGGGTTAGATGCATGGTAGCTGGCTTCAATGATCTGAAACCACGACCTCAGCATCACCTCGGAGCATCGTAAGAACTCGCAGATTCCAAAACGAGCAAACGTTTTAAGACCTAGATAAATCAAAGGCCTACAACGAAAAATATCCGCAATATAAAACAAAGCGAAGAACCAGGGTCCTCAGCTTTTGAAGAGATTCAGTACCAACAAGCAAATCCAAGCCAACTGCAGAATACCCAGAATGCCCTGCTTGCATCAGTGGAGTCTCCAGAACCATCCCTTTCCCAGACTCCTGTCCCCACTGATGCCCCGTCTAGAGGAAAATAACCACCATGACTGCAGACTGGACACAGCCACATGACAGATGCCTGATCACCCCAACAATCCGAAGTAGGCGTTATAGTCTAAAGGAGGCTACCAGCAGGTAAGGCCTTTCCTTAGATGGCACTTTGATTTACTGGCTTGGCTTGGAAGGTTTAGAAATCTGTCCCGTGGAAGCCATCTCAGAGGTCATTACAGGACTCAACTTGCTCAGCCGTAACACAGTTTTCACAGATGTAATGGTTCTGGTATATGAACTAGGGGCTCTGAGACTCACATGTCATGGGGTCACACCTGTCCACTCTGCTTGGTTGTGTGAAGTGGGGGTCTCAGTACAGACAGCTCACCCAGTGGGATGAGACCTGGTGACCCATCTCTCCCAAAACCAGACCACACTCCTGACTGACACTGGCTGTGGACGTCCAGTCCTATGTGCCAAGACCCCTGTGGTTAACAGCTTTTACTTGGCAAAACCCAAACTCCCACTCTGCAACCGTAAGCCGATGAGCGTAACTACGGTGGAGTGTCCCTGGGTGGGCCACCAACATTGCAACCAAGATCCGAGACTAGCTTATCAGATGTGTAACTAAGAATATTTGTTCTAGGCTTTGGGGCAGGAGATTCTTTGTTGCTATCTCATAGAGTACCACACACTAGAGGAATTAGAAACCCATGTCACAGGAAAACCATCACAGCTAGGCAAACCGCACTACTCCTTCCTCAGCCTCTGTCTCCACCCACACCAGTGCTGCTCGGGCGGCTCCCTGTCCAGGCCCTGGGAAACCAGCTCAACACACCTTTTCTGAGTAGCTGCTTCCAGCTCAAAAATGTCGAAGTCCCAGTTTTCTTCATTTTCTATGGCCAGGGCAATCCGCGGTGGGACATCATGAAGGGCGACAGGGCTGGAGACATCGCTTGGAATCGGCTGCAGATCTGCAATGTGACGTGATTTGGAGAACAACATTAGCAGGTCTGTGTATCTGGTGTACTGGAAATGGCGGCTTTGTTTCTGGGGCACTACGGCACACCCAGAACTTACTGGTGAGAACAATCCTGTAGCCTGGATTGCATTGTTACAGAGCTCTAACGGGGTAAAAACAGAACTTACGTTTTGCTGCAAGAACATACTCATTTCCTGAAAACCTTCGTAAGCCATCCTGGTGGAAATCAAGGACACAAGAAAAGGCCTGGTTATAGCTCTTCTTCTTTCCCCGTAGGTAGCCTGGGTAGCCAGCCCCAGAGGGTGATCCAGGCAACCACTCCAAGGCTGCCCAGTCCAGCAGGCTGCCCACATTTCTTTCTCACCTTTTTTTTTTTGGGGGGGGGGGGGGGGGGGGG